GGTCCGGGCTGGGGATTCGAACCCGCCACCTTAGGTGTACGTGGCTGGCGCCTTAGCCGGTTGAGCTATAGGCCCCGAGCCTGATCAACATAACTTAAGTATGCCTTGGAAGTTTATAGGTTTCAGTGCATCATGAGAAACAAAAGGTTGAAAAACACTGCTCTAGATTCTCAGATGACAGAAAGTTGGAATCAGCAGATCTTTCACTTCTGTGGTAGACTGTTCAGTGGCCACAAGTCCCTCCATCCCATATGCACACCCTTGTGCAGTGCAACCTTGCTGCTCTTCCCATTCAGAAAGGGAGACCATATTTCTACCCTCTTGAAACTAGACTGTTGTAAAGAATTTGTCTGATATTTCCCCAGGTTCCTAGTATTGAGCTTCTAAAACGCTTGGAATTTCCTGAGTGATAGGAATGTCTTTGTTATGCAAGACCCCTTGGGTCACACCTGAGACTCAGGATGGAGACTGGCCACACTACAAAGAACCAAGGGATTTGAGGGTTGGAGCTTTGAGTAGCCCAAGCTCTGGGAAGAGGGGGGAGGATAGAGATTGAGTTCAATCACCTGGCCAGTAATTCTCCAGTGCAAGCTCTATACTCTGAGACTTAGGTGAGCTTCCTGGTTGGTGAGCACATCAGTGTGCTGGGAGGGTGACATGCTCCAACTCCACAGGGAGAGGATGCAGAATCTGCATTTGAGACCCTCTTAGATCTCATCGTATATGTCTTTCACTTGTCTCTTCCTGATTTGTATCTTTTATAGTACAACTGTAAGTTAAAAAATAACCATTACTTGAGTTCTGTAAGTTGTTCTAGCAAATTGCTAAACCTGAGTGGCTTGTGGAGAACTCCTGAATTTATAGCCACTGGAGACCTCCAAACTTATGGCTGGCCCCTGAAGTGAGGGCACTCTTAAGGGGAACTGCCCTGACTTGTAGGGTCTGTGCTAACTCTGGGTAGTCAGCATGTGCTATAGCATTTGACTTGCTTTGACCAGTAGAATGTGATATAAGTGACATTATTTGAATTTTAAAACCTTGCAGTTTGCCCTTGCTCTCTTGAAACCCTAATGCCACCATATTGTAATGAAGTCCAGGCTGAAAAGACTCCATTGAGAGGGATGCCAAGTCATGCCAGCTATCCACCTGAGTCTGACCTCCAGCTAATCTACCAGCTGAATGCAGCTGCGTGGGTGAGCCCCAGTGAAACCAGTAGAATCACCTAGGCAACTCAAAGAATTATGAGATATAATAAATTGCTGTTGTTTGATGTCAGTAATTGTTGGTTTGGTTTGGTATGCAGTAATAGTTAACTGACACAATTTCTCACACAATTGTATCTGTGAGGAGGGAGTGCACTAAGCCACCTCTCAAGGACACGAGGTGGCTTAGTGTATAGCTATACAACTTATTGTAAATTAATTAATCAACATTTAGTTTACGTGTATCAGTCCCCATGAGTTTAATGAGCTTCTGCCCTGAGGGAAAAAACCAATTTATTGTGCTAACAAAAATCAAGTTAAGAAGCTGCTGGGCTTCATCTTGGTGGCAGCCCCATTTCAATGCCAGTTTTATCACTTGAGGCAGCCATGATTATTCATTATGCTGAATAGCATATGAGAACAATGAGAGCTAGACTGTGGGCCAATGAGATCAGGGCATGTTTGTCTAGTTCACTACTGCATCTCCAGTGGTTATCTTAGTACTTGGCACATGGTAGACACTATCTATTCAATGAGTAACTATTCAATAAATGTCTATTCAATGAATGGCTTCCTCAGTGTGATGTACACTGAGTAATGCCTCTTATGGCACCATTAACTTCTTTGCTTTTTTCTATTAAAATTAATATTCTTACTCAACAACACACATATAAAGCAGTCAAATCCTACCTCTGAGGTTGAAAATCCAGGGTAAGATGAGAACACAACCTCTGAAATAAGAGAGAAAGAGAATGAAGATTGGTGAGCGCACTGACTGACCCCCAAAAAGGCCAGGATCTGGGTCTTTTCCACTCACTGTATAGCAGGGTTCCTCCTAGAAGGGGGCCCCACTGGTCCTCAGCTCCAGTGCTAACTAGGAAGTAGAGCTGGCTGTGATGACTATTAGGTAACAAGTCCCTTTGTACTTAGAATAATATCCAAACTCCTTAGCCAAGCCTCTGAGGCCCTGCATGATTGGGGCCCTGACTCCTTCTCTAATCTCACCACATGCTACCTTCTGCCTCATTTATTATATTTCAGCCACACTGACCTTCCTGACTTTGCAACATGCAAGCAATTTCTAGCCTCAGAACTACTGGACAGTCCATATTGAGCAGAAAGCTAATCAACTATGTTAGAAGAGAGAAATGTAGATAAAAACATGTTATATTAGTAGAAATAGAATGTGTTAAATCAGTGAATTCAAGAACAATACCAAGAATAACCAAGAACATGGTCATAAGAGGCTGTGGAGTGAGTTCATTCTTGGGACTATCAGAATGAGAGAAGCCAATCAACAGTTGGATTTAACCTACTAAGGTAGAGCATCTGCTGGGACTGGATCCTGTGCACACATCACTTACCTTTACTCTGCCTGATGGGACCCCCGTTCCACCTCTTGATGATATTATAATGAGAAAGCTCACATGAAAATGAAGTAAATAGTAATTGGGCATGGGAAAACACATGACATAAATAATTTCTACTACTAGGAGAGTCTGCCAGGGAGCTTAGGAAAGGTTTGTATAATGAACAAAGTAGGAATACCCTGGGGGTATGTGCTACAGTGCTGTGAGTGCTAAGCAGTGACACCCTTAGAGACAGCACATCTAGGAAGATGGACCACAGCACGCTTGGTCTGAGTGCAAATCCTGCTTCTCCCCACAATCACAGGAAGCAATTTTAGAAATCAGAACCTGTACTTTAATCTTCTGATTAAGGATTGTCATACAAAATATGAATAGACAATCAAGAATTTGCTAATATTTGAGGAAAATTGACAGTCTAAGAAAATCATTAAATATAAAATAGGAAGAATTAGCATTTGAAAGACAAGAGTTTAACAAAAATAATAAAAACTTCAAAATAGAATAAATGGTATCCTCTGAGAAATTAAAAAGGATATTTCATTCCTAAAACAAAAGCAGATTTTTATGGAAGCAAAACTGCTAACAATTTTGTGAATTTAAAATATGGTAATTACATAAAAGACCATAATGTGCTGGAGTTGAAGCGCTAATTCATAAATAGAAGACTGAGCCTACAGACTTTCAGAATAAAGTACAAAAAAGCAAAGGGAAGATGGCAGAACACCAGGTAACCAGCTCATATCCCACTAAAACAACAAGAATTCTGTAGCTATCCATGGTCAAAAGTCTCTATGCAGGAGCCTCAGGATTCAGGTAGGAGTTTGTCAAATCCTGGTGAAACTCAAGACCTTGAAGGGTCATTTCAAGAATTCAGACTGAAGGCTCGGCGCCTATAGCTCAACCGGCTAAGGTGCCAGCCACGTACACCTAAGGTGGCGGGTTCGAATCCCCAGCCCGGACCCGCCAAACAACAATGACGGCTGCAACCAAAAAATAGCCGGGCGTTGTGGCGGGCGCCTGTGGTCCCAGCTACTTGGGAGGCGGAGGCAGGAGACTCGCTTGAACCCAGGAGTTGGAGGTTGCTGTGAGCTGTAATGCCACGGCACTCTACCCAGGGGGACAGCTTGAGGCTCTGTCTCAAAAAAAAAAAAAAAAAAAAAAGAATTCAGACTGATAACCAGGTGCCTGATCCACAAGCTTGCTCCTGGGCTCAAGCTCAGAAATGGCCTAGCCACTCAAAGAGCTTGGTTATACCCCCACGTGACCTTGAGCCTACAACCAAAACTATCCGCCAAGGGGTACATAAGGAATCATATATATCAGTGCCTTGACAGAAAGGCTTGTCTGCCTGCTGACACTGGTCTTGGCAGTGAACCTCTGAAAGTTGCCCAGTTTGTCAGGGCAGGATTATGAGCCTCCCAGACAAGCTCACCAACTTCTGTCCCATAGCAGATCCCAAGTTTCATTTCTAGCCCCTTCCACTACAATCAGAGAACTATCCCATTTGTGCAAAACTTGCTGGGAGATGTTCACCCTCAGAGTGAATGAGACAAGGATCTCCAGTGTCCTTCTCATACTAAGTCCCAAAGGGGCCAAGTCTCACCTCCTGGTCCCTCTTGCTACAATAGAGAACATCCTGTCTATGCTGAGATATGTTGGGAGATACATGCCAGTGTGGGCCAATGAGATAGACATTTCAGCCTTTGTCTCAAAGAAGATCCCAGTCTTAGCTCTAGCCCTTCTTACTGCAATCAGGGGACTGTCTTATCTGGGTAGAGACCTACTGGGAGACCTGCACCTGTGTGAGCCAACGGGCCAGGCACACCAGCCTCCAGCCGATGGTAGATCCTGAAGGGGCTCAGTCTCACCTCTAGCCCCTGTTGATATAGTTGAGGACCCAGCTTACCTATGCAGAGATCTGGGAGGCATGCTTGTCTTCAGGACTCAGGTGCTTGGCCATCATTCCAACATAGCCCCTGTACCCTCCTTGGGTCTTCCCTGGGTACATATGAGGCAGAAAACTGCAGCAACCTTAGAGTCCCTGTAAGACTTGCAGCAAGCCTGGGCTTAGAGTGTCCTCTAGTGTTGAGACACCTCCAGTAGTCACAGGTTCAGGGAATACAAAAGTTATTCTGCTTAGGATCTCTGGAAGGCCCTTTGAAGGACAGACATAAACAAAGCCAAATTGCAAAGACTGAAATAAATACCTAATACTTCACTATACAGATATTGTAGTACTTTCACAAGCATCAAGAACATTAACAAAATATGACCTCACCAAACAGACAAGGTGTCAAAGACCAACTCTAAGGTGATGGAGAGGGAATGCTCCAATATGGTAGAATAGAGACATTTCCTTATTAGCTGTTTTCTGTCAGCCAGGGGAAAGGAGTCACCAGCCACTTCCATCTAGATGGTCCCACCCAGAAACACTGTGATGGCACAGTGAGATAGGGTGGGACACCATGAGCCAAAGAAGATAAGAAGTGAGAGGCTTGCACAGAAAGCAGGTGCAAGGGAGGACCTCAACCCAGGGACAGAACCTACAGGACTCTGCAGGAGATTCTCTTCCATAACCACACAGTAACCTGTTGGGGTGTGCTAGGGGTCAGAATGAATTCCAGGAGGGCCTATCCCTGGATTAAGGGAATTGAAGGGAAAGTAGAAAACCACCAAAAGGAAATCCAAAAATTGGCCCAAGAAAAAAAGACATGATGAAATTAGAAAGGATATACTGGAGTTTAAAGAATTGAAGAGGTCATTCAGGGAGTTTCAAAATGCAATAGAAAGTTAAATAACATTAAATTATGGAGAAGAAAGGATTTCAAAGCTTGAAGACAAGGCTCTGAAGGTAACTTGGACACTTAAAAAGGCAGAAAAGAAGAGAATAAAAGCAGAGAAATATCTCAGAGAATTATGGGACTACACAAAATGTACAAAATACAAATTACAGGTTTCCCTGAAGGAGAAGAGAGACCAAAGGGCATGGAGGCCTCTGGATGATATCATAACTGAAAATTTCCCAAGCATCACCAAAGATTCAGACATGCTCCTTTTTGATGCATATCAAACCCTGATTCATTGCAGTTCAAACAGAGAATCTCCTAGACACATTATAATTAACCTGGACAAAGTCAAAATGAACGAGAAAATTCTGCAAGGTACCAGGCATAAGCAACTGACCTACATAGGTAAATCCACCTGTGACAGCTGACTTCTCAGCTGAAATGTTAAATGTCAGAGGTATTGGGCTCTCACTTTCTTTTTCCAAATTAATTAATCCTTTATTGCGTTGCTAAAATTACAAAGAAATGTTAAGGAATATCACGCGGTATCTTGCTGCAGCTGGACAACTCTTAGGTCTTACTCATCAGCCTGCTGAACTGTTCCCTTTTCAGAGACATAAATACCATCCCCAAATTTTCTGATATTCTTGTTTTTAACTGTTGTGGCCTGCTGATCAAAGCAGCTGAATTTGAAACAAGCTCAATGTCATTTCCTTCAAGGATTAACTCATCTTTCTGGGCTTGATACTGAACAGGCAATGCCTGCTCTCATCTGAACCCAGTGGATATATTTTTCACCCAAGAAATTTCTTATTTCAACAAGAGACCTATTCTCCTGAATAACAACATTGATGGGGAAGTGAGCATACCCAGACCTCATCTTGTAACGGAAGCCAGTGTAACACCCTTGATCATGTTCTGCACGTGACTACAAATAGTGTAAACAGTAGCCAGTTCCTTTCTATTTCCCCACCATTTGTCAACTCGGAGCCTCTTCTTTTTCTTTCCAAGGAGACTGAGTTCCCCATTGGTGTGGTTGAAGTCCCTCCTCAGGGTTCCTTTGGGACCCTTCACTATAACTGTGCGTCCCTTCAGAGTGATGTTGACATTTTCTGGAATGTTGACAGTTTGATTGCTGAGAATGGTCTTCATTCTCGCGGAGATGCAGCAAAGAGAGAGCATCTTCTCACTTTCAATATATTCAAACAAAACAACTTCCAGCCTAGAATTCTGTACCCTGAAAAACTAAGCTTTATATTCAATGGGGGAATCAAATATTTTACTGTTAAATATTGAGGAAATCTGCCATAACAAGGCCTGCTCTGCAGGAAGTTCTCAGACCAGTTCTATTCACAGACCAACACAATGGACCACCAGAAAAATCAAGTCCCTCGAAAACTAACAGGCAAACCTTTGCTGCTATGATGGCCCAAGCAATAAAAAATAACAACAGATCACCACACAATAAGATGAACAGAACTCCCTACTTATCAATTTTGTCAATAAATGTGAACAGCTTGAACTCTTCACTGAAGAACAGGCTGGCTGATTGATTAAAAAAATACAAGCCAAGTA